CCCCAAAACCCCAAAACCCCAAAACCCCTGGGGGATAGTATCAGATTGAATAATTTTTAATTCAAATTAGCCTAAATTTTGAGATACGAGATTTATGTCGACTCCGTATTTTGTAAACACTCTCTCAAATTCGTTCTTTGGAATTCAAGATTCATTGAAATTCAATCATTTTAATGACTCTAGAAGAGATTTTGATGTAGATAAACCATGAATGAGGTTTTCAAACTCTTTGGGGTTTTTTGTCCAATCACTGAATTGCTCGATTCCACAAGAATTAAAGCTCAATTTATGAATGTTGCATCCTGAAAGAGCTTGTGAGAAATCAGGAGGAGTTTCAATATGAATCTTACACTCATTAATAGCTACCACACCTTTATCTCTACAACTCGAAAGTAGTTTACGTAACTGTTTTTGAGTTATTTCAAATTCATAGAAAGTTACCTTATGAGTAACTCTTTGTAGCACTTTGGTCAGCTCTTGAAAATAGTTATTGATACTCATTTTTATAGGCTCGTTAAAGTCAAATCGACCATTATCTAGCAGCAGTTCACTTGTTTGACTAGGGAAAGAGTGTTCCAAAAATTTCTTGGCAATCATCTGCTTTTTAGTATGAAAAGATATTCTTACAGATTTATGAGCTACAATTTTATGATTCCTGACAACTTTCCACACAGAATCCCCAGATCTTTGTTTCAAATTTAAAAGAAAATCTGAGGAATAGTTTTCAAAATTTTGGAATCTTTTACTTTTCTTCAGATTTATCTTAAGAAGAGAGGCCTCAAGATCTAGACATTCTGAGTTAATGGATGATTCAACTGCCTTCGAATTCGTTAACTTCATTTTACTGATTGACTTCTTCTGAGTATCGATTTGGTCCTTCAAAACCTGTATTTGGTCAAGGGTAGGCTGGATATTACTGGGGTGATGGATTTCCCACCTCTGGGATACCCATTCAATGCAGTATCTAACAAAACCTGCATCTGTGCTGAGGCTATCCAAGATGCTCTGGCTGACTCCTTTAGTTTGCATTACTGTGAGAGTTCTAAAGACTACATCATGATTGTTTAAATTATTGTATGTTAAGACCTCCATTATTCAATTTATAATAATCCATGCGGGGTTTTGGGGTTTTGGGGTTTTGGGG